AACACACGATACTTAACAGTAACGTACATTGTTAAAATTAGCCGCGATTCAATGAATGTTATTTCTTCCACCTAGCAAGGTATTTCACATATTTAGTGAAAACATGTTAAATACTAGCAGGTTTTATGTATGGCTAAGATTTTGATTCATTGCTACTATCTACTGTATTATATGTATACAGGTTTAATAATAAAGATAATCCACTGCATCCTGAGTTGACCACAATTCGTTCCACCTTATTGTGCACCTAGCTTGCAAGCTCGCGTACCTACTACCTATTAACTAATGAAATGGGTACAGTAAACAATTTCAAAATTGAGAGATTACATAGCTAGGTACAACGCGTAATCGTTCAACCCATGGATATTACTATTTGTATTTTGGAAGTATGTAGGAAGGAATACATTATTCTATTTAAAAGGAAGTATTCGTCCATATAAATATTCGGAGGGGAAACTTTTTACAGCTTCGCACATGTTTTTTTTGATACGCTTTGGATAAGAATTTTCGTAAATCCTTATAATGTGTGTATTCGCTCTTTTGTGTATTTTATTAGATAGGTTTACCCCTGTATGTATCGTCTCTAAGCATCTTACGTATGGCATCAAACTCAACAAAGCCTTTTGATGCATAAACTGAAATCGTTTGAAGAATCCCCCTTAACAACTCGTAAAATGTTTAATGTTAGATAATTCATTGAGACCGATATTCGTTTTGAGATATGATGGCCTAATATCAGTGTATCGTCGGGTGAAAATGTCATTATTAAGTGAGGGAACGCCTAGACGCAGGGGTCGGCAACCGCGAGGGCTTCGACCTGAATCAGATCGTAAGAGCGCCTGCGCGACCCCGCCCGGCAAACCGGCGAGCCCGGCCGGCCATCGACCAACCCCGAGCCCCGCGACTTCCCCGGCCCGGGGTGTGCCCGCCGCCGCCCGGGACGCTGTCGCCAGCGCCCTTGCTAAGTTGCTACTCACTATACCGTTCGTTGTATGAACAGGGTGTTACAAAAAATACATACTTATCTGCTTTCATCATACTTGATAGCTTACGTTAAACCGGGGCGTATGTGTGATTGAAAACAGATCAAGTTATTGTATTAATGTAAACTTACTAGAACAATGGTATTTGCACGCCCTAGACGACAGTTTTTATTTTAAAACTTGAATAATAGACTCGTCCTGCTCTGAGGAAGAGTTCTTCAAGTCCTTCCGAATGTTCCTTGTTGGAAACAAACACGAAGAAAAACAAACACGTCATCTATCAAAGCTTCGGCTATAAACCAAAATTGTACAAACATAATTTTGTAAATAAATTATTCTCTCATATATATTATTCCATCCTATATCTTTTTAATGCTATTGAGTTAAATTAAAACATGATTTGTGTCAACATAAGCTCTAGTGTCGTAACGCTGTCTGCTATGTTCCCAAGCACGTTGTTCGGTTTAATGATGGGGGTGCAACGTTCAATGGACATTGCTTTTATTTTATTACATCCCTTTTGTCCTTGAAACATCACTCCACTCCAGATTAATCCCTCCATTACACCCTTGTCAGTATTCAATAAAATTTTAATGTAACTTACATTTTGTCAATTTATCTTTACAATTCTAAAATATTATCATATAATTATTTTTATAAATTTGTGGTTATTCTATAAAAAGTGTTGCAATGCGAAACTTTCATTCAAACAATAACCGTCAATATAGTTGGGACAAAAATTGTCACACTTTTTTTAAATAACAGACCACGTGTCGCAGTCTGAAAGTTAAATAAAGAAATCAATGCTTTGGTTTTAAGTTTAACTTGTAAATGCCTGAGCTTTTGTTGTTATATTCATTATGCCATTATTAGTTATTAGTTTATATTAGCCTATATGAGTTCACTATAGTAGGTTCCTACTGTACGCATTCCATGCGATTCCGTGTGATCCTTGACAGCTGACACTTAACCAATGTGCATATGTGTTTGTCGTCGGGGTTCAATAAAATCAATAATATATTTATACTTTATCATAACGTGTGCAACATACTCAAGACAGTGGTATTATTTACGAGACTCAATTTTATTTACTAGATATTAACTCGTCGAGTACCGGTTTTATAGACACAATTAAAGAACAATAGGTCGCGGTCACCGGTGACCGCTTGGTGTTTGACAGTTTAATAAAGAGTATAGGTGCACATCCGTCCGTACAAGATTAATATTATAATTTCACTTAATTTTGGTAGATCCTCGCTATAGAACGATCTAAACATCAAAATTGTCAAATCATAAATACATCTGATAATGATTTGACTGATAATAATAACTGGCTGGGGCTCTAGCAGATGAGAGGCGCGGCAGTCGGGGGGCGGCGGGGTAGGTTTACCGGCCGCTGAACCTCGCTAGTCGAAATCAATACAGCTGCGCTCTCCCCGCACGGCGCGGCGAGCTTGCGCTCGGTGAAGTCTGGAGCCCGTCGTCATGGATACCGTACCAGATAAACCAAACGGCTGAGGCCCCGCCGCTCTCTCCCCGGCCGCCACGCCCGGCCCCCGCACTCCTCGCAGCCGGCACCACGCGCCCCTCGTGGTCCGCCCGCCATCCGACCAAATCCCGCATACTTATCCTCCTTGTTGACAATTATTCAAACTTTTTCTCTGTTACTATGCAGACAACGGACAACCTGTTGATATCACGTTGAAACTAATTCTAGAGTTCGTGTATCGTGAACTTATGAGTAGAAGCCGAGATAGACATTTTTTTAAACACAATTAATTAGGTAGTTGCGGAGAGCAAAGTATTTTTTGACAATTCTTTTTTTGTGAAACCCTTTTAAAAACTTACGCCCGATTGATTGAACCACTTCTCTACTTACTTAACGGCAACATAACTGTCGATCGACCTTCGTGTGATATTTTGGGAAGGGTCGGGTAGTGTTAACGATTTCATTTTTGGGGCCCCGTACCAATAAAACCTTATTACTAAGACAACATGATCTGTCTGTCTGTCACTAGTGTCTCTCATAAATCTGCAAGTAGAAATACAGATGATGTATTTCTGTTACACCGTAGGAACTTACTTAAAACTAACATGAGAAGTTAAAGAGTGATAATAGTTATTTGAGTGGGTTCCATACAAAAAAGGGTACGTTATTGATATTGCAGCTACTAGCTAGAAATATTCACAGAATAATTATTCTAAGTAAATAAAAATATAAAAATTGTGTGGTTCTCCGGGGGGTTGTGGCGGTTCCCGTACAATAAGTGTGATCTTTTTGCCATTTTTATATTGGTACGCATAAACAACACATCGTGCGCGAGTACGAGTCGTACTGAGCCGGATTATATTGTATTTGTATTATGTATAAATAAAGTATGTTTAGCAGATTTATTGGCAAGTAAAGTATACGTATTAATGCGATCTCCATACTATTTCATTAGCGTAAAAAAACTTGTCTTCATTCAAGCTCGAGGGTTATACATACTTTTTTATATCGCAGTTAAAATTCCGGGGCCGGCTTCAAATAAACGGTCACGTGTTAAATAATAATAATTAAGTGGACTAAAATTTAAAGAACAAGAGTGATTGTTTTCGAATACCTAATTGATATTTCAAGGGTTTCATGCCCAGAGGAAAAAGGCTGCTGGAGAAAGGCTTACCTAACTTGACTATTATTCTGCTATCTGAATAATACCAAAACCTGTTCGCGAATATAAAGGAAAAGAAATTATTTATTTATGTATTTTTCTATTTTAGTTTGCGACAGACGTCTATCGATAGGATACGGGGGTGTCTCTTGAGCTCAAGCAATGTTTCTTACTGCATTTCATATATTTCTCGAGTTTATAATAGTTTTTAATTTACACATTACATCTTAAGGTAATTTACTACACATGTTGTAATTACGACGACACAGACGAATATTTACTTCTACTTTCTCTTAAGAGTAACCTGTGGTTATATTAGCAGGTATTTATGTATTATTAGCGACCCGTCCCGGCTTCGCACGACTGCATTATGCATGTATTATACATATAAAAATTCCGTAAGAATCACTCTATCTGTTAAAAAAAACCGCATCAATAAAAAAAATCCATAAAAAGATCTAAGCATACATAGGGACAGAGACGGCGGATACCGACTTTGTTTTAATACTATGTAATGATGATACATGACTTACTTATAATTGTAGGCTTCTATTTGAGGAGAATTGGTGACAAGCTCCCAGCTATCCCTTGTTTGATGTAATTAGTATGCGTACTACGTTTATCATTACAATATTACTAAAAGCTTTAGAAATCTAACTTTAAGTAAAGATAACGTTCGGTATAAAACAAGGTTTAATAATTATGTGTACTGAAGAGTACTGGTATAAGAATCGCAATTCTATAGAATACTAAGTATTAAGTATACGCAACATGTTCCTATTTCAACATAGGAGTGTAGGCTTTTGTCCTACAAAGGGACGATCACGGTTGAAAATTAAATTAATTAATAAGAAATTAACCACATTTATGTATTGTTGTTCATTATAACAAACTGTTAAGAAAATTTTAATAAAAGTATGATTTATGAAACCACCAACATTTTTAGGCGTGTACATTTTAACGCTCTTATAGCCGTTTACCGTGATAAAACTTAGTGCAACTTTTGTGTAGCAGAATTTGTATCATCTTGACTTATCCGTAAGCTCAGTCAAAAAGCTTTTAAATATGGTTTTATCTCCACAGTGGGTACTAAAGTCTAAAAACACGCTTATAGGCACAGGGCGCAGAAAACGGCTTTTAGATTAATGTTTAATCTAACCGCTTAGATTCAACTTGAATACAGGTTTTCTCGCGTCGAGGATATGCGTCAAACGTCAATGTACAATTACAACAATTCACTCAGACTTGGCAACAATTACCAAATGTGCTATTTAGTTTTAGGTTTATGGCTTTGCTGCGATTGTTTAAATAATGCTGAACAAGATATCTTGTAGGGTCTTTAATTTTTTTCGTTTTATGCTTACAGAACGTAGACCACAAGGCAAAATTCCGATCTAAGAAGGGTCAGTTGCCATTTGTAGAACTGAATGGCGAAGAGATTGCCGACAGCGCCTTCATCATCAAAGAGCTCTCTGAAAAATTCAACAAAGATCTTGATGCGTGTAAGTATATTATTAAATATTAAACAATTATGTAAATACAGTTTGATTAAATTACTTAGATAAAAATAATATTTTCATCATAATCATTATATATGACATATGTATATGATGGATATTTCCTTTGTTCGAATGTAGGTTGTAATGTAGGTCGCCGGGGATGATTGGCGGGGGTTGGATAGCGATAGTATTGATGTACAGAGCACCTATATTTAACTAAGGGCTTACAGGAATTCTGCGCGGCCGGGGCAAGTCCTAGTTTCCTAGATAATTCTGGGACGTCGCGCATGTGCATAAAATCTAGCGAGACCTGCCGTCCCTGAATTGACCCATTTGTTATATACAGCTCTGACGCCGGAGCAGCGGGTCGTGAGCCACGCTATGATCTCTATGATCGAGAACCATCTGTCGTGGGTGGTGTTGTGGTGGCGTGCCAAGTACCCGGATAGTGTAATCAAGGGCTACCAAGTCAATCTGCAGAACGCGCTCAACACCCGCCTGCCAAACCCGATCCTGAACTTCTGCTACAAGTTGGCGGCTGCCCGGAAGGTAAGTCGTCAATGCAATTACTTCATTACGTCACCAACGCTTCAAACTTAGTTAATTTCTTGGGGGCATTTGTTGTTTGTCTTTGTTGAGACATAACAGAATTTTTGAATCAAATAACTTATTTATCGCACAACTTAATATCGTTGGGCATTCATATTATAAATTGATTCATAATTCTTTGTTTAATGTTTAGGTATATTATTGAGAAACAGAAATAAATATATACTTTATTATTTTATTTATGTTATGTAAATACTTGCAGGGCATGAAAAAAGCTAAGGCTCATGGCATCGGCGTGCACTCACAAGAAGAAATTCTTGAATTCGGCAAGAATGATCTACGAGTACTTTCTGATTTGCTGTCAGATAAACCTTTCTTTTTCGGAGATGAACCAACTATTGTAAGTATTGTTTTTATTAAATACTTTGTTTATAAGCCGTTTTATGTCTCAAAGTGCGTAACTATTGTGGTAGGCGTTTTTGATATAGCCATCTTATCTTATGGCGCCAACTTAAACCATCTTTTTGATCGCGCACAAAACAAGCTTTGTAAAATTTCATGTTCAATCGCTATCACTATTACTTAAGCTCAAAGTTAAAGCTCATTATCTAAGTTAGGGTGAGTCAAGGTTTTACAATTTACACCGAGATGTTTGGTCCATTAGCCCATTACGCTAATGGAATTCCAAATACGATTAGATAATAATTTAAACTAGAAGATTAGTTTTTCAAAGTATCTCTTTGTGAGATAGTGATACCTAGCTTTTAGGAGTGTAAGAAAAGTAGGAAATAGATATATTCATAGATTAAAAAGAAACAAATTTTAATTTAATTGATTGGTATTTATTTTCAGTTGGATGTGGTTGCGTTCGCCAACCTCGCACAAGTCCACTTCATCGACAAAGAAGTGGCCCATCCGCTGCGAGACGCCATGAATGAGCTGTTCCCAAACCTCGTGGGCCTGGTGTCGCGTATCAAGGAGCGCGCCTTTAACGACTGGGATGACATCTGCTCCACCCTCGATCTCAACGCGCACCTGCCCAAGCCCGCCAAGGAAGTCAAGGAGACTAAGGAAGGCACCGGCCCTGCTGAGAAGCAGCCACTACCTGATGAGCCGGAGAAGGGCAAGGTAAATTATATACACACTTTTTAAAGACTTCAACATTATTACATTATAGCCAAATCGCTCATTGAACTCATATCTGTTATTTTGTTTTTACAGGGCGATGAAAAGGAAAAAGAAGTAGAAAAGGAATCCGATGAGAAAGGCAAGGAGAAAGACAATGAGAAAGAAAAGTAAAGGAAGACGGCATGTACGGCGCTAAATTTCATTATACCGTATAATTAATTAATTAACAAGTTGAGATATACTCTTAAGAGTCAGACTCGTCGTAGATTCTGTAAATTATAAGTGTGTAAATCCATTTGTCTTTCCCGTTGCTTTCAGTTTAAGAGAACGCGAGCTATAATATTGTGGTCTCCGTTCTTTATAATATGTAGTTGACGTGATGTCGTGTCGTATTACATTAACCATTTCGTCTTAGGTAAACATTTTGTTTCTATATTTACGGATGTAGTTCGTGTAATGTTTCAATGCTAAATGTGTTTATAATATTTGATAATTCTGTCATTAAATGTTTGGATGATTCAAATCAATATTAATAAGTATTGCAGTTATTAAGGTATTCAGGATTAGGCAAACATTTATTCAAATGATAAATAGAGTATGTAATTAATTCGAGATAGTCCACTTGCAGCGCATCATCGTATCGTATGTATGGAACTGGAGTCTGCAGTCAGTCGCCTGAACAGTACGACCTCAGGCGTGTTCTCTCTAGGGAAGTGAATGAATCGTGCCAACTTACTCGACCATTACTGATATCACATTCAACCGCCGCATTGTTTCCATCTGTCATGACATCTGTAAAGTCCGTAATATACTGACAGGGTGTAAGAACAGGGCTACGAATGATATTTTTAAATTGTCGTTATTGACTTAATGGGACACGCCCATTACTCTCTTTGAATGAAGCGTCGTATACCTATTTGAGATTATTTTTTCACAAATCTCTCTTCTCATTCATACTTCTGCGCCGATGGCGTTCTACTTTAAAATTATTTACTCTACTTTGTAAGTGTAGAATATTTGATACCAAAAATTGGCTGATTTAGATAAATTGGAAAGAATGATGCATTTCTTAAAAATATAGCTCTTCACTTCTAAAGAATGAGCTATTGTGTATGATTAGACTGTTTTGAGATTCTTGTACTTTATTGGTTTATTATACAAATGAAATTTTACAATTTACAATTTTTGATAATCGAAAACCCTGGAAGACTGTTTTTCACGTTATTAATAATTCATAGTCCATTAAATTTTGATATTGAATTAATTGTTAAGGTTTAGAAAAGAAATGTACTCAAAATTTATAGAATGTAAAATATTTAATTGCATTATGATTATTCGGTCAATGACTTAGTAGTTGTTTTGCCCACTACCTTTAGTAGCGATCAAGATACGACAAAAATGTACGACGCGGCTTCAAAACAATGGTTACAATATATAAAAGTAAATAGGAAGTGTCGGCAGGTCACTGCCGCCGCGTTACGACGACGTTCCGACCACCTTACCACCGCGTCACGATCACGTTACGACCACGCTACCACGCGACGCGCGACCTGCCGTTGAGTTGATACAGCGAGTCGCGTTGCATGTGCTTGTGGCGTCTTGTCGCACATGTCACTCGAGGCGATATTTCCGTCTCGTTATATAAATGCACATTCTCATACAATTTGTTGTATAATTTTGACACACCCTTAGTTATCTATTACTACTATTAGACGTTTTGTAAAATATTCAATTAAGACTGTCGCTCATCATTCATTCCTTGATTGTTCGGTGGGACTCACTGTTCGATTGAAACGAAACGAGTTGTTTATTTTCTGAAATGTTTGTGCTCAAGGGCGGATCTATGGCGTTAGGCACTGAAACAGGCTTAAAGCTTAAAACTTAGGTATTAAACACTAAAGTACATTCCAGTTTCACACATTATTTCACGATAGAGTTAAAGTTGTGATTCCATCTGGTTGCTATGGCAGTAAGTGCGAAGTCGAACGGATAATATTAAATTTGTAAAATAAGTAAATGGTTTTCGCATCGTGGCTTGATAGTAGTACATCGATTTATAATCGGTTTGTAGGTAGGCGCAGTAGACGATTATATGTGCTTCATGTTTCAATTTAACATCTCAATTGATCGATTAATGTTAGGGCTAAAGATAAGTTAGACACGATGAAATTACTACATAAATTAAAAATGTCGTAAATTGTAAACATAAGAATAATAGGTAGGTTACGTAACCCAGGTTACGTTAGAGTAATATGTCCGGGAGTTTATCGGTAAATTGAGCAGGCCGCCACGCCTGCTCTATATAAAATATGTAGTAGAGTAGATATAAAAAACTGACAAAAGACAAAAAAAAAGATTTTGGTTCAATTTGTTGAATTATGAATGTTGATTTGATTTTTCCGGGGCAAGGTTGACGTTTTTTAGTCCCTCCCGACAACTGCTAACCATCACTGCCATTAGATAACAGATTAAGGAAATTAATGATAAGTAGGGTAAGGAATGTTGTAATAGTCGTCGCGTACACATTCGACGTAGAAGCGTGGTACCAGCATAGAAGTTGGTGTCAGCCACGATACAGTAATATTATAATATGTAGATACATTTAACGTCGTTTATAATAAGGCTAAAGATTTGTCCGACCATCCGTGTGAGAGCCTGTTTCAGTGTTGTGCGATATATCGACAGAGCTGGCTGCCTGCTGGCGCAATACTCTGGAACAGCGGTGCGCTGTACGCAGCCCCAGCTGCGCGCGCTACCAAATGTCTATGAGAACATTGTCTGCATAGTGGTGACACTTGTCTAAGGGTAATTCCGAAACGACTATGTTTACGAACATAGGGATAGAGTTAATTTAGAGCTAATATTTAAGCATCACAGTAATCTTAATATCATATTCCCATTGTATTGTGTACGTCGAGACAATAAAGAGGAGTGCAAATATTGTTGACCATCTGATTATAAGCCGTGCTGCATTTTTCAGAATAGAAAATATTACTATGAGTCGGAGAGTTTGTAAAGGATACTTTATTGTCTCTTTCTAGGATGTAATATTATAATCTTATTGATATTATTATATTCAATATTTCATGATTATTCACACTCATATAAAAAAAATAATGTTGTAAGTTACTAGCTATTATACAAATTATTCATAACTAGCTTTTACCCGCGGCTTCGCTCGCGTCACAAAAGAATAAAAAGTAGCCTATGTGACATATACCAATACACACAGCGCCATCTATACCAATACTTTTGTTTTTCCTCGGGAATATCATTTTTTTCCGGGTTAAAAAGTACCCTATTATTTAATCCGGACTTCTAACTTTACGTCTGCAAAAATGCAAAGCAATCGGTTGAGTAGTTACGGCGTGAAGGTGGAACAAACAAACAAACAAACAAACTCACTTTCAGATTTATAATATTAGTAAGGATTACTCATATTTTAAGCATAAGTATTTCAAGTATGTATGTTTATACTATTTAGAATACTGTAGAAAACTTTAAGATTGTAATATCTATCTACAGTTATGTTTTTTTCTGTAATGATAATTCATTCACTTATTATAACTAGTATCTGTGGTTTTCAATTATTGTGTCAATATTTAAACGTAAGTAGATAGTAATGGTTCGCCATCCATAACGACGAAAAATTGAGCTTCGACGCCGTGAACATGTACTTTAAGAATTTCATGTGTAATATTCTTTCGCCATTAAATATATACCTACAATAATGTGAAATACTGCAGAGCGATTCGACATGAGGTGCGCCATGTCACTTCATGGTGAGTCCCGATGCAGGTGAATTTTATTATTTCTCAATTCCCTGTCTTAAATTCCCTTTTACTTAATAGTTTCTTAACTATGAATAATTGTTTGTAACTGTAACACAATAGTCTTATAGGCATAGACTGCATAACCAAGCATAAAATTAAACATAAAGCAGCAGTAAAGAATTGAACCTGAACAATGCGAAGAGAGCTCACAATAAAAGTTTTGTGCAAAAAATCACAATTTTATGACAGGGTCTGTCGAACAATGTTTCCAAAATTCAGAACGAGTAAAAAATTCTAAAACCAACGCAGATGTGAAGTAAGAATTATTTATACAAAAATAACACGTGTTTCGAACGAGGGATGATTTAGTTTAGAATGCGCACATATAACCACGTAAGCGTTGATTCACGCCGGTTTTATATATATATCGACGATCCCATATTTTAGAGCTACAAGTCTTATTTTAATAAAGAAGAAACTTAGAGGATAAGTAGAATTGAGGGAAAAGTATCAAAACTATAATATTATTATAGGTACGCACTATTAAAATGCCAAAATATGCACTAAAAACGGCGACCTGCACAAAGTATACAATACAAAAAGCATTTAGAAGTTACTGGGGGACTCCGCGAACTTCATTTCGCAATAGAATTTCGCTTATTCGCTTAGAATTTTTTTCTTACATAAGAACCTTTTGTCTATTACAACCCTGACAAAAAAGAACGGTTCAGCTGGTCTCGAGATTTGCACTTACATTAAGCAATTCATTTTTAAATTGTAGATAAATGCTGCAGGAAGTAGCAGGAGCTACTAAAAATAACGACTAATTTATAATTTTTGGGACGGCAACCAATAATAAGTAGGTATATTTTTCTATGTTTTCTACAGCAAAATACGTTTTTCACTTAGTAAGTATCAATTTGTAGGCTGAAATGACCTTTCGACGTCGACCTGAGGCGTCGACGGCACAATACAACATGTATAACTAGGTACTGAAATAAGCACAGTTAATGAAAAATATGCAAAAATACGAACACATAAATATAATCCGATGTTTTTATAAGTAGGTAAATAAAGTGTTCAAAAGAGAACAACAGAACACTGGTAATGTACTTAGGCATGGATTTATTATTAGTCCATGACCTAAGTAAGATTTATAATTGCACTTGAGCACTTCAGCACAGTTGATGAGGACGGCACGTGTGTAAAATAGGTACCTACATAATATATTGTCAGTGTAAAAGCACTGAGTGAGCCAGTAATAATACAATTGGTATCCACTCAGTATGATAATTTACTTAATTATGGAGGAGTGGTGTTACTGCTTAATGTGAAAGCCGTCGTGGTACGCTCAGGCACAATAAATGGTAGTGTGATATGTAGGCAGTACGCTAAAGA